ACTAACACCATAACGAACTTTAGTAATCTTTTGTTAGAGACTATAACCCCCATTATAAATTGTGCACATAACCAGAAAATAGATATTATCAGGTCATAGGAATATATTTTAATTAACCACCCCACTCTCCGAATTATACAAGTTTAAGAAATAGCTATATTATAATTTCCAGTCCTTACATCCCTGGATACCTAAGCAAAACAATAAAATAAATTAAATATTAATTGTACACCAGGTAATGCAATAAGAAACAACAGACAATGATTTTAGAAAATATTTTTCTATTTTATTGAGAACACTTACCAAATATTATTTAATAATTTAAAAAAGAAAATGTGACAATTTGTTAGGTTATATTGTTGTTACTATGATATGCAGGAGTAGCTACGGTCCCAATACACAATATTTTTGATATTTACAGTATTTCTTGTGGACACATTTTAAAGCGAATTATACAGTGAGCATCATAAGTCTTATCCCCCCTGTCTAACTTGTTAGGAAAATCACTAAGACACGTCGATTTTTGATTTCTACAATGTCCATTTTTGTATGAATAGTTCACCCTTAATTTCATCCCTTATTAGAGGGGAGCAACCCTTTCGAAAAATTTAAATGGCATGGGGTGGTAAGTGATAGCTCATTTGAAAGGAGATTTTATTATTTATTCAACCGTGCAAAAAAATTTTAAATTTGCTTCATTAATTCTTGACCAATTATTGTTTCAGAATAACGAAAATTAACGTAGCGCACTCATCCGTAGAATTAAAATTCGGCCCTGCATGATATCGGTTTTGCTTCAGACGTGAAGAAAGACTTTTTGCCATTACCCAGATAGCACAAATACGTCTTATGGACGTTCTAAAAACGTCTTGCTTGGACATTCAGGACATCCTTAAAACGTCCATTTCACGGACGTGGACGTCTTATGGACGTGTTCCAAAGACTGTTAATAATCAGGATGTCTTAAGAACGTACATTTAAGGACATTCCATGGACATTTTCAAAAGCTCGAATGGGGAATAATAGGATGTAAGGAAATTAGTGAAAATAATGAATAATTTCAAAAAAATTTATTTGGAAGCAAATAATCTATAAATAATAAAATTATTGAAACTTTTTCGTCAAATTCATTCCGTCTCCCCTCTACTTTATGCTTTTCAACCACGCCTGGATTGACAGCAGTTGTTTTTTCTTGATTTGGCCATATTTACCTTCTCACTTGAACCTGAAAATAATTTAATCGCTTATTCAAAATGAAAGGCAGATCAATATGAAAAGTCAATCTGTTTGTTAAAGTTTGCCCTGCTAGATATTATGAATTCACTAACCTTTTAGCTTTGTAGTATTCACTGAAAAACTCCTCTACTTTATTCTTTTCAATCATGCCAGGATTGACAGCAGTCAGTTTTTTTCTTGATTTGGCCATATTTGCCTTCTCAGCTGAATCTAAAAATAATTTAATGACTTATTCAAACTAAAAGGCAGATCAATATTAAAATCCAATCTGTTTGTTTAAGTTTGCCTTGCTAGACATTATACATTCACTAACCTTTTAGCTTTGTAGTATTCATTGGAAAATGTCCACCTTTCTCAAACATAAAAATGGTACAAACTGCAAAAAATTTATATTCATCTACCACAAACTCACAGAGTCAAATCACAGTCAAATGGCGGGATGATAGAACTTGTACTCGTAAAATATGTATATACCATCGAATCATGAACATTAAACAGATGTTTTTTCTTTTTTTTTTTATAAAACCTGAGTCTTGAGAATATTTCAGTGCTAGAATCTTTAATAGAGAGTTATTGCAAGTTCACTTAAGATCACTAACTTTAACAAAGATTGTGCCTGTCCTTAAAATAAAGTTATTGCAAGTTCACTTAGGGTCAGTCACTATTAGTGCCGCTCTTATTTTGACATCTAAGCATGCGCAGATGTTTATGTTCTAAAACTGACTTTATTAAGGATTGTGCCTGTCCTTAATTGTGGATGTTTAAGGGCAGCAGGTAGTGGCGACTTTATAGCTTTCGGATGCGCTCGTCATTTAAACCTTCTAAAATTATAATTTATAATGCCTCTTTAATATTAGGTACTTTTATAGAATTTATTTGACTCTAATTACGATGTCACTATTAGTGGCTGGCTTTATAGAAATTTGCAATATCTCTCTATTAAGGATAGGCACAATCTTTATTAAAGTGAGTGATCTGCGCATGCTCAGATGTCAAAATAAGAGCGGCACTAATAGTGACTGAACTTAAGTGAACTTGCAATAACTCTCTAATAAATAAAAAATAAAATGACACTTGTCAACAATGTCTCTTTCTTGTAAATGACCTTCTTCGTTTTTGTCTATTTGGCCTTTTTTCAATTGGATATTGGGACAATGTTATCTTTAATAATTATTTATATTATCTCATTATATATGTTTTTTATATAATATAACCAAATAATAATGCAATGCGAATGTGAATCCATGGAAATACAGTAATGCACGTAAAATTAACGTTCTGCGGATATCTATTTCTTGACGTCCCGAGAATTTACTAAATTGGACATACTTAAAACGTCCATAATTGGTCCTGGACGTACAGACGTTAAATGGACATTTAATGGACGTCCTTAGGACGTCCTGTGCTATCTGGGTAGATAAGGTCACTGTTAGTTTAGTTGCTTTCCTATTTTGGATGTTTTGTTATTTTTAAACATTAATGAATCAACACGTAATGAAGCAAATTTTAAAATTTTTAGCACAGTTGAATAGAGAATAAAACCCCATTTCAAATGAGCTATCACTCACTACCCAATGCCATTTAAATCTTTCGAAAGGGCTGCTTCCCTCCAGTAAGGGATGAAATTAAGGGTAAACTATAGAAAAAATGTGTATTGTAGAAATCAAAAATCTACGTGTTTTGGCGATTTTCTTAACAAGACTCTAGTAACGAGTTAGATAGGGGGGTAAGACTTATAATGCTCATTGTATTATTACGTTGTGTAAACATAACAGATGAAATAAGTAACAAATAGAAGTTCTCCGAGGTTTTGATTTTCCCCGACAATCTCCCTGCATTTACGTATTAACGTTCCCTTAAAACAATACCGCCGAAAGGCTTGGCAACATTATATGCTAGCTGGCTAGAGTTTCAAAAAATTTCAAAACAGGTAATTCCAATAAAAATGTAAAGTGAAGTGATTTGTCTATGTTATGTATATAACTGAAGAGAGGTGCGGTTTAAGATCACCACCACCCTATATGCAGACCAAAGAATTCGTAAAAGGACAATCGCTCAAACTCACCGAGCATCTACTAAGCCTTAATGGAAAAAATACTAGAGTACTAGTAGGTCTATTAACAGGACATTGTAGGCTTAACAAATATATGTATAATATCGGTCTCAAAAAAGAGACCTTGTGTTGATTTTGTTAGGAAAATAATGAAACTGCAGAACACGTATTATGCTACTGCGAGGTCTAGCAAGACTGAGATTCCTTACACTTGGAGAAGAAAAACCAAGAGCAACTAGCTACGCCGGTGAACTACTTCATAGTCAATGGAGTCTACTACAAAAGACCGACTTAGACAAGGTACTCTAAACAAAGATTAAAGGATATCCACAATAGATTTAAAAAGGTCGAGGTGGAGAAGATCACATGACTAACAGTCCTAATTAAATATAATCTCTAATACATGGTGATAATTTAAAACCTATTTTTTTTTGTGGGTGTAAAATCAAGATTGGAACAATATTTAAAACACATAAATGCGTCCAAAATGAAAGCTTTAGATTTTCTTCTAATTATATCTCTATGGAGCTTATTAAAATAAATGCAATCTTAAAAATTTTGAGAACTCTTATTGCTTTCGTCGATGAGGACAAAAATCTATGGCTATACTTTTCCCTTCATTTTCTATATGTAAATAAATACAATTTAATAAATATTTCAATAAAACTGAAACTTTGTAAAACTTTAGTTTTATCTAGGATGATTTACGATATACATTATATATAGTGTGGTGATAAAGTAAAGAACAAAATTCATAATTGCGTTATTTAATGTTTTCAAGCAAACCGCTGACATTGGTCAATTTAATTTTTCAATTTTACACTTCCTTATAAAACATTTTTACTTATGACGTTGTCGTTTTTTATTAGATACTTTAACTACCCTAATGATAGTGCAAAATGATTGGTTCGTCAAATAACTATTTTTTTTTTGAGAAAACACATTTAGGATGAGAAATAATATTGAAAAAAATCTTAATTAAACACCATTATTAACCAACTATAGCGCAAATGTTCAAATTGCTCTCGGTCAACCAATTGGCACTAACCGATACAAATGTAGACAAATGTAGACTTCTTTCAATGACTTCATGAGTAATGTGCTCCACCGCAGCGCGAAATTTTTGCCGTTAAGTCGTCTGATTAATTTTACCTATTAACATAAACCTTTGATTTTAAACAACCCCACATAAAAATCTAAGGAATTTAAATCTGGGGAACGCGATGGCCACTTAATTGCTCCTCGGCGTCCTATCCGCCTTCCAGGAAATGTGGCGTCACGATTTTAACGGACGTTTATACCAAAGTGAGGAGGCACCCCATCTTGTTTAAACCAAATATCTTGTTGTGGTTCATCTGTATCATGATCATTTGGAAACATTAATAATAGAGCTAACACTAAACCAAACCGTAAATAACGTGCTGCTGTAAGGTTATTTTCAAAAAAGTTTTAAACCATAAAATACAATATTTAATTTGCTTGTTGGTTTTTAACTTACGGCTTGAGTTCATTCAATTCATTCTTACTATTAATAATTTTGATATACAAAGAAAGATCCAATCTTTATATAAATTATTAAATCCTACTGTGTTCATCTCTACAACACTAGGTTTGATTTTAATTACAAACACAATTTTTTTATAAAAAACAAAATTAAGCAAGCATTTTTAAAACTATGTGATAGAAAAATATTTTTTTATTCTTTTTCTAGCCCATATTCTGCCTCCTCTTGGCCACGTCACAGGCCGGTGTAATTCTGGGTAAGGATGGTCTACTTCATAAAGCAGCCAACACCATTGGACTCTCCAACGTGTTTAATGTGGGCGCTGACGCACGAGTCAATCTTCTAGGCAATGAAGTCGGAATCGATGGAGCTGTAGGAATCGGCGAGTCAGGAATCGGAGCTCATGCTTCAGCGGATGCAGATATTCTTGGACAAAAAGCCAAAGTACACGCTGATGTTCTAGATGGACACAAGATCGATCAACACAACCACGAAGTTTTCAAGGATAGTAACAACCGCCAATATGTCTTGCAAAGGCAGTACATTGGTTCTCAGTCAGTTCTTGTAAGAAAGTATTTAGATAACGGACAGATCTACCTTGATGGAGCTAACGATGATAACGTCTTACAACACAAACAAGTCGATGAATCCAAAGTCTATGACAACAAAGGTGGTTGGTGGGATGTACAGACTAAAAGATACTATAACCGCTTTGGAGAATGGGTAAAAGGCAGAGTCTGGGATCCTAGAATTTTAAACCATATTAGTTATGTTGAACCTGAAGCAGCCGTTGATGACAGGTATCCAACTGGAGGTTGGCAAAAAGATGGTAACTACGTAGAAATATATCCTATGCACTCAAGTCACCAAAAAGAAGTCAATGGAGGTTGGCAAAAAGATGGTAGCTACATAGCAGTAGATCCTGTACACCCAAATTACCAAAATGAAGTTATTGGAGGTTGGCAAGAAGATGGATCCTATATCGCTGTAGACCCTGTACATTCTAGCCAAAGAGAAGAATATTTAACGAGTGTCCCCAAAAGAGCTAAACGCGAGGAGGAGTACGTATTGTTGTTTCCACAACATTAAGGCCTTCTGCTTTAATCTTGACACATTTATAATTTCTTAAAGTAATTTTGTAACTTTAACATATTAAAATTGTGATTTAAATGAAATAAAGGTAGTGTATTTATTTATAATATTTAATTTTAAATCTATGATAATTTTGAAAACATAATTAAATTATTTTAATATATTAAAAAATATTATACTCACACATATAGGTACATCACAACCTTAAATTATACAAACCTTAGATGGAACATAAGACACTACGCATAATCCCATTTCGAAATTATTCACACTCACCAATCACAGTTGAGAAAATCACATGTCAGAGCGTTGTCCATCCAAATTTAATGTGTCAACGAGAATAAATTTGGTATTTTAGTGACTTAAATTTTGGAAATTAACGTTGAAAATGCCAATATGTGTTGTAAAAAGCTTTATTTATAATAAAAGTGCGAAAAGTGACAGAGATAAAAAAAAATTACATTTATTTCGGTGAGTTATTTAATTTTTAGATTCTGCCGACGGCCATATTTGTTGATTTGAAAATAAACAGAATCGGACTTGGTCATTGGTACATGTTATAAGTAGCAAATAAAGGTTATTAATATAAACTGTTTACTATTTCTTGTTTCATGGGGAATCTTTTTTCAGGAAGTGGAAAGCGTAACATAATATCAAATACAAAAATATCAATTTCATTGCCAATTTATTCATTTCAAACTTCACAACTGGTTTCAATAGTTTTTCAAAACTATTTAGTATTTCTTTATAACAGTGTTACTCAAAGTGTGCTCCACAAAATGGAGGGACCTGGCTTGAGGACCTTTTTTTTTGAGAAGTAATATTTTTAAGTCACTAAGAGGACGGAGGATATGATTTTGCTTGAGGATTTTTTTTTTATTTTTTATGGGTGAAATGGATTTGGGATAATTCTTGCAAGGAATCTTTTGAATTAATCAAAAATAAATTAACAACAAATGATGTTCTTGGGCCTTTTCAGCCTGAGTAGCCGATTAAATTAATCGTAGATGCATCAAATGTGGGAATAAGGGCAATGATATGTCATGTTTTTAAAAAAAATATTGAGAAACCTATAGCTTCTGCGTCGCGTACCTTATCAAAGTCCGAACAAAAATAATCTCAAATTGAAAGAGAGGGCTTTGCAATAATTTTTGGCCTAAATAAATTTAATGAATATTTATATGGACATTTTTTTATCCTAGTTACAGATCACTTACCTCTGGTAACTATTTTTAACACAGCTATAAGTATATCCCAATTTTCAGCCAACAGAATACGTAGGTGGGCAGTAATATTGTCAAATTATAATAATTATAAAATTGAATATGTGAAATCGTAGCATTATAGAAAGCCGATTTTTTTATCACATTTACCTGATGAAAGTCAAAATGAAGAGTCAAAATGAAGAGTCAAAATGGAGAGTCAAAATGAAGAGTCAAAATGAAGAGTCAAAATGAAGAGTCAAAATGAAGAGTAAAAATGAAGAGTCAAAATAAAGAAAAATTTGAAAGTTATTTTTTAAATTATGTGTTTTATGTGTTTAGGGCTCCGTCAAATATTTCGCTTTTCAAAAAGGTTCCTTCGCCAAAAAAAGTTATTTTCTCTAATTTTGACATATAAAGTAATATATTTTGTTATCGCAGCAAGTGTCAAAACGATCAAAACATTATGCAACTTATTACAAGAAGTTGATTATGTCACCAGTTACGAAATAAAAATAAATAAAACTGCCTATTTGTTGGTTTTTAAGTCGAAAAATCGAAAAATCGAGTACCTAATCGAAAAAAAAAAATCGAAAAATCCAAAAATCCAAAAAACGAAAAAACCAAAAATCGAAAAAAAGGCAATGATTAGTGACATTTCACATTTAAAAATATGACATTACGTTTAACAACAAAAAAGAAAACAAAAAAAGGTGTAAATTGCGTTTTATTTTTTAAATAATGGAACACCATTATTAAAACTGCCCAGAAATGTTGGGGGTAAAATTTTGACGAACTCCTTTAGGGATAATGGGCAAAAACATTTTTGTTTTCAAATTTCCCGCAAGTAATGTCAAAAATCAGATCGGCACCACTGCACATGTTCCTTATTTTTATTATTACTATTAAAAAAAAAACGGCGTGCAATCAAATACAACAATTTTCTAAAATGTTTACCTACAAAAGAATGATGATGAATCATTTTTCAACACAATTTTATAAATAAGTCAAAATTAAAAAAGATCTTGTATGTAAACACGTTACGAAATGTCGTTTTGTGTAACTCGTTCATTTTGCGGGACCTCGCTTCGCTCGTCCCGCAAATATTTACTCGTTACACAAAATAAGGCATTTCGTAACTGGTTACATAAATAGCTATTAATTGACTTTCTAATATTTTAAATCATTGAACAGTATTTTCCGTAAATAATTAAATCAAAAATAATTAGCGGCATATGAGTACCAAAACAAAGTAGGCTTTTGTCAAATAAACTTAAAATATTATAACAAACGAAAACGTAACCCATTTCTAATAAAATTTAATTATTTATTTTATTTTGGTGTGATCGTTGAAAAAATCTTGTGTGTAATTCGAGCAAGAAGTACTGTGGCTGTTTCGATAACTTTTTATCTCAACAGCTATTTTGTTACAATATTATAAACTTTTACTTAGGGTCGATTTCACCTTTTTGTTAAACGAAGTTTAAATTACTAAACGAAGATTAAAAAGACATTTTTACAATAACAATGTCAATTTAATCTTCGTCTAGTAATTTAAACTTCGTTCAACACAACGGTGGAATCGGCCCTTAGCTACTAGCTATATATTGATAAAGTGTTATTGCCCTCATCATAAATGAATCGTGCTAACAAATAAAGTCAAAAAAAACGTCTCATAATTTCTCATCTTTTAGTTACCTACCAAAATAAGGTACTACAATACAAATATTTAAGTCCGGCCCAGAACATCTCCCTACTCCTTCCACCCAGTTTTTCGGTATTGGCAAAATTCACGCAGCGACAAATGCTTCCTATGTTACCTCTACCCTTTCTAACCTCTTTGATCACAACAGAAGTGAATACTGAAAACAAGTAAATTGAGCGTAAGTATGTAGATTAAAACTACTCGAAATCAGAGATAGTCATATTCAAGTAGATTTAACCTACACTTATGTCTCTAAAAATAAACAAGATTAAAAGAAGCTGTTACCAATTTATAAATTCAGCAATACACGGTTCTTCAAATTTTCCATTGCTCTCTTTTATTGTTATTAAATTTGTTATTTTATTGTTTTAAGTATTCTAGATAAATATTTATATTTTTCTGGATTTAATTTTTTTTAGATCCATTTATGATTTTCGTAATTATTGGGTATTACTTCAAATGTATTCATTAATTTGATTCAGTATTATCACTCAGTTGAACCAAACCACAGAAGAAAGAACAATATTTATCCTGTGACCAAACTAACAAATCGTCGTCAATATCACAAAGTAACCTATCTCATTTTTCCTAATTTTACAGGAGAGCAATTTAAAGTTTCGTATTGCATTTGAGTAAGGACAAACGCTACTTTGTAAGAACTAAGAAGGAAGATCTATAAAAAATAAGTATTTCTACAGTGTAATAACCAACTAGTCTGAAGTCCTATTTTTAACAACTGATAGGACTTTAGCTATTGTTGTCAATAGCTAAAGGGTCCTGGAGTCCAGGAGGAACATGCATTCACCAGTAGCAAATAAAATTAGAAAAATATAAAATTCACCCTTAATAGCATAAGTCGAGTGGCTTTGGCAACTAGTCCATTTAGGGGTAAAAATACCATCTGAGGTTCCTATATCTAGGATCCTATCAAATAATAAAAGGACTTGATTGATAAATGTCAATATAATTTCAAGATAAATAGCCAAAAAGTACAATCAGTCGCGACGACAGTAAAAATAAAATATGCCAGACGTTTTTATATAAATATTTTTTAATGCCTGGCAACCAGGGGGGTATCGCGCATAGTGTCATGGCGGCGCTGACGTCATGCGTAGAGTTAGTAGAGTTGGCGCCAAGTAAAATATTATACGACAGACGCACGTTGCAGTGATTTGTAAGTTATAGTGATTTATAACATTTTAAGCGAATATCTGTGTATTATATTATATTGTAGTGTTCTTTGTAAGTGGTATTAGTGATAAACATTAAAAAAAGGAGTTGAAAAAGACGTTTTTCACATTCTTCGACAATAAGAAGTTTGTCAGAAATGGCCAAAGGGCGGCTCTAGTTGTAGGTCCCAGGGAGCCTTGCTTCTTTCTTAATTAACATTTTTACATTTCATGAGGCTTTTATAAAAAAATATACTAAAGAGGGAAATGTTATAGGCAATGCTACCCACTCCTCCTCGAAAATTTGACGAAGACGCCCTTGCAGTGGCCTGTGGCCGTGCAGATAAATTTAAAATAGAAAATTGTCATGTGTGCTCCAAGCACTTTTAACCTTCAATTATAAGACCTTAAAGCAAACCTTCACGTTAGTTCATTCGCAACTCAGGACTTCTTAACTGGGGACTCTACCCTTTTGAAAGCTGAAAATTTTGCAATATATAGCAAAGGTGAAATTATTTATGTCGCAAAAAATAAAATTTCGGCATGTTGTACTTGATGAAAGAACTAAAAAACTGTCAGTGACTAGGTCCAGGAAAAATGCCGTGACATTTTATTTTTTCTATATACACCCACCATCTAGCAGTTATTTGTATTTGGTACATTTATTTTTATGCTTTATATCTATGAAAAATATTTTTTTGAAAAACTTTTTTTGTATCGTACTTATACATAAATCCCATATTATTCATAAAATAAGTTGTCAAGTATATTCAGTTGGGTAATATATTGCAGATAAATGAGTCATCAGTTGCGAATCCTAATCAGATAAATAGCCCCAAGATGCGAAATTTTAACCCAGGGTCCCCAGTTGAGAAATTCCGAGTTACGAAGATACCCTTCTCATTATCCTGGTTATAGAAACTATTCTTTAGACATCAAATGTTCTTCTAAATTAAAACCTGCAATATATAATTTATATAACGAAAATAAATCATTAAAAAGAAAAAGGCAAAAACTG